TGGTTGAGTGTGGACCTGTGAACCTGGAGGTCACAGTTTGATTCCTCATCAGGGCACATGCCTGGGTTGCTGGCTCATTCCCCAGTAGGGGGCGTGCAGAAGGCAGCTGGTCAATAATTCTCTCTCATCACTGATGTTTCTATCTCTCTCTCTCTCCCTCTCCCACCTTCTCTGAAATCAATAAATATATCTTTTTTTAAAAAAAGCCCAGATCAGTTTCCCTCCAAAGCCTTGTATATTTGTTTTAAACTGTGTTTCCTTTTAAATATTTGGTGAATATTGGAGAAATGCGAGGCGGTTTTTTTTGTTTGTTTGTTTGTTTGTTTTTGTAGACAAAACAACAAATTTACATGTCTGCCAAAGAAAATAGAACTTTTATTCAGGATATTAAAGGGAATTATTTTGTTGTTGTTGTTTGTTTTTTTAGAGAGAGAGAGAGGAAGGGAGAGCAATAGAAACATGGATGAGACAGAAACATCATCACATTTTCCATTGATGCCTTTTGCACACTCCCTACTAGGGATCAAGCTCCCAACCCAGGCATGTGCCCTGACAGGGAATGGAATGTGGACCTCTTGGTGCATGGGTTGAGGCTTAACCACTGAATCACACCAGATGGGCTAAAAGAATATTTAAATATTTTAAATTAGAGGCCTGGTGCATGACATTTGTGCACTGGGGAGGGGGGGTCCCTCAGCCCTGCCTGTGCCCTTTCACAGTCCTGGACCCCTTGGAGGATGTCCGACTGACGGCTTAGGCCCGCTCTCTGCAGGGATCCTTAGCACTGCCACGAAGGCAGGCCGTTGTGCTGGCCAGCCTTCCGCCTGGCTTGTGGCTGAGTGGCACTCCCCTTGTGGGAGCACACTGACCATCAGGGGGCAGCTCCTGTGTTGAGCTCTGCCCCCTGGCAGTCAGTGCACATCACAGCAACTGGGTGTTCCTCCATTTGGTTGATTTGCATATTACCCTTTTATTATATAGGATTGGACTTCTGAGTATTTGTTGATGTATAGTCTAATATCAGATTTATGTATTGAGAAAGGGAGCAATTTCTTCCTGGGAAAAGATTACTGGGAATCAGGAATTCAGGGTATAAAAAAAGACAATCTTTTTTATTTTTATGCTTTTTAAAGAATTTACTTATTTAAATTTATTGGGGTAACATTGGTTAATAAAATTATATAGGTTTTAGGTGCACAATTCTATAATACATCATCTGTACACTGTATTGTGTGTTCACCACCCCAAGTCAAACTCCCTCCATCAGCATTTATTCCCCCTTTAAGGAAAGACAAATCTTCAGTGGCACAAAATGGAAATAAATGCTTTTCCTAGCACCATGCAATTCTGAACTCTTCCTCCATGTTTATTGTTTCTGTCTTTTAATGAGAACATGTCTAACAATTCACACTGATTTGCTAAAAGTAACGTATAAAGTGCAATTATTTGCTCTCCTTGGCCGCAGGCCTCCTCATTAAAGTGCTTCTCATCACATTTTACCGCTTTCGTAAGCTTCCCACGCAGAAAGCATCCACAGGACAGTCCACATAGTAAAACTTTAAGTCCCTGGAACTAGAAATAGAGGTTGCCAGTTCCCACAGATTGCGAGATTGACAAATTAAAATACAGGACTCCAGCTAAATTCTCATTTCAATCAACGAAAAACATGTTTTATACACGTATGCCCCAAACATTACCTGGGACATACGTGTCTAAACTCCCTATTGGACACTCCCATGTAGCCGGGCGCCGGGGTCTCCCCTGGCCGCCTCCCGGGGCCCGTCCCCCCCCTCCCAGGCCTCAGAGCCCGGGAGCTGGTTTAAAACTCGGGCCGCAGGCCGGGCCGCGCCCCCTGATTGGCCGCCGCGCGCCCGCCCCGCCGCCCGCGGGCGTCACGCAGCCCGAGCCGCTGGGGCCCCGCCGCCACCGCAGCCGCCGCCGCCGCCTCCGCAGCCTCGCTCGGCGCAAGTGCGGCGCGCGCTGGGGGAGGGGGCGCGGCGCGGCGCAGCGCGGTTGGCGCGGGGCCCGGCGCGCGGCCGGATGAAGTTTCTCGGTCGCGCGTGACCGTGTCTGCGCGCTTATCTGCAGCTCCTCCCCGGGCCGTTACTTCGCCAGAGAAGAGGGAGAACGTGGGCGCGGCGAGGCACTCGGCGTCCCCGGCGGCTCCCCAGCCCTCCGCCCCTGGGCGCCGCCGCCGCCGCGAGCCGGGTAAGCGGCGCCGGGCTGGGGCCGCGAGGGCGGAGCGCTCGCCCGCGCCTCGTGCGCGCGCCGGTCGGGGGTGCGCGGGGTGCGCGGGCTCCGGGCGCGGGGCGGGCGGGGGCCGCAGCGCTAGCCCCACCCCGCGAGGCCCGGGAAGCCGCTGCTCCAATGGCTCTTTAAAAGGATGAGGTCTGGAAGTTTCTTTCCTCTGCTCCTGGCCCCTGAGCCACAGTCCCGGGTCCTTCTCTCCTCCCTCCCCCATCCTTACTTTAAGTGGCTTGAAAGTTTTTTTCGTTTCCTTCGCCCGGAGGGGCACAGTGCCAAGAACGGGGGACCCGGGCCTGGCGCGCGGGCCGGTCGCAGGAGCCTGTTGCTCTCCGCCGCTGTGGACGCGTCCCAGGCTGATCGCCCCGGGCGGCCACCGTTATGCGGTGCCGGGCCATGCGGGGTGGGTAGAGGGTGGGGGGAAATGTCCCCACACTGGGGTCTCACGCCCCGCCGGCGGGGGACCCAGACCGCGCCGCTGATTGGTACCCCCTGTCCTTGGCGTCTGTGCCTTTTCGTCTGCTGCCCACGTTGGTGCCAGCGTTTTGCTTCACACCCTCCTCTCCCCCACCCCTCTACCCCGTCCCTGGCGCTGTTGGGGGGTGCGGGGCGGGGGGGCTGCTTTTATCTGCGATTTCCCAGACCCGGGATGCCGGATGCTCCGGGGGAAGCGCGGTTAGGGAGACGCCTTGTGTCTTGGGGAGTTGCGTGTGTGGAGGCGGTGGTGATGGAGTACATTTTGGCCGGCGTTCTTTGCAGAGGCACAAAGGCTAGTTTATTTCCTGCAGATCCCTTGGAAATTGAAGCTGGGGCTGCAGAGAAGAAGGAGGGGCCTGCGAGGGCGGGAGGTGGGCGCCGCTGGTCGGGGGCGAGGCGAGTTGGGAACGTGAGACATCTCGGGCCCTCTCCGCGGGCGGGGCTGCTGAAGTTGCGCTGCTGGGAAGGAACCCGGGCGGGGGCGCTGTGTGCCTTGGGTGGGGAGGGTTGGGGTGGCGACTAGGGTTTCAGGGGTAGCAGCAGATAAGATGACCATGGCTTTGCCAGGCCTGAAGGAAACCCCTCCGTGTTGTTTTGATGTTGAGAGGGGGAAGAATGTGAAAAGTGGCCGATCTATGGTCCAGCGTTGATGGACAGCTGTGGTGTAAACATCCTTCTGTGTTTTGGGTAGGCATTACTCATTTAGGATACATTTTACAGAATAAATAACACCTGATCTGAAAAACGAACCAGGGGATGGTTTGGTGCAGGTGTTTATAATGAACTTTTTTTTTCTTTTAAGGTTGAATCATCTACAGTTGTAATATATGCATTTAGTGCCTGGTAGAATTTAAGTAAACAATTGTATTTAAAAACCCTAGAGTTCCTTGGCTTGAACTTCTAATGCAATGCAGAGAGAGAGCTCTGGATGGATGCACCTGTGCTTCGCCTGAGGGAGGGGTGGGGAGGGCGTAATCTTGTCTGGGATGCCTAGATACACTGCTCCTTAGTGGAGTACTTTACAGATGCGCGTTTCTGTCTAGATTGGGCTCTATCCCTGCTCAGACTTCACATTAGGTTCAAACAAAACAAGCAGAGGGTCTGTAGACTTAAGGGCCATAGGCCAAGTTGGCCTCCTGCACTGGTTTTTGCCTCTAAGGTTTGGGAGCTAGGGATGGCTTGTACATTTTTAAGTGGTTGAAAGACAAAATCAAAAGACTGTTTCTCATGTGAAAATTATATGAAAATCAAATGTGTGTCCATATTTAAGTTTGGTTGGAGCACAGCCACACTTAATCCTGTTGTCGGTGTCTCATTCTTGCGGTGCATGGCTGCTTTAACATTTAATGGCAGAGTTGAGTTGCATAGCTAAGACAGAGGTGTATACCCTTCAAAGTCTGAAATATTTACTATGTGGCTCTGTAAGGAAAAATATTGCTTAAATACTCCCTTTTGTGATAGGTGCATTGTTTAATTTTATTGCCTTTCAGGTCCTGTTTTTGGTGCCCCTTGAACTGGCAGACTCCCCCCCTCCAAAATTAAACTAATTATAAATCAATGTGTTGGATTTTCTCATTTCCAAGTTTTATTCTCAACTTTTTGGTATCTTTCTCTGTTGGAATCTAGGGTAAACTGGAGTTTCTAATGAGCAGACATTGTGTATTTACATATTTTAACTTTAATATAGATGGCCATATTTCAAGGCTTTCTGCAATGGGTTCTAGTAACTTCTAGCCGTTCTGTTACCTGAGTAGGTTTGAGGACTATAGTTTTATTTATTTAGGTTAAGAGAGCAAGGGGTTAGAGCATGTCATGGGTTCTTTTCAGAGGACAAGGCAAAGCTAGTGTGAACTCTTCCCTACTCCTCTTTTCTTCCTCATTTGCTAAAACTAACAAAAAACTGATAAAATTTATCTCCAACATACTAATAATAGGTCAATCATATGGGTACCATACCTCTTACTTGGGTTCCTTTTTTTTTCCTTTGCTTTTCCCAATATTTCTTCTCCTCTTTTTTGTTTCTGGTTTTTCTTCTCTCCTTAACACATATCCTCCTTTTATCTCCTAGGCCTGGCTGTTGTGGCTTGGGAAAAGAGAGATGTCAGTCAGTTTTTATTGTTCTCCAAATCCTATCATGTAGACATTGCTCCGTTTGGCCCTTAAAGATGTCTTTCCATTTTAGATACCTTTTAACTGCACATATACTGTGAGGGAGTAGAGGCCTGTTCCAGAGTTTATTATAGCTCAGCAAGGTGGGTGTGCTCAGGACATGTTCATGGGAATCCTTGAAGTGTAATTTTGTCTTGATGCAGGACTTTCGTCTTTAGCTGCTGGCGGGGAGGCTGTGCTTTACAAATAAAGAAGTGAGCCCATTGTCTAGAGGTAAGATTAAGGGATTTAGAAGCTGGCATGTGAAAACGAATGTACCTGGAAGATAACTGTCTGAGTTAAAGGCAGATTATGCTCTCCAGATTACATCCCAAGTCTGACATCATAGACTTGACTCTTTTAGGTTGACTTGCAGGTTGGCTCCATTTTGTATATTTATAACATGCGCAGAGAACTCTGTGACTTTCATAAGATATCTTGAGCCCATAACAGAGTTCTTAAAGTTGATGTGTTGGACTGGAAATGTCCTCATATATGCTGGAGCAAACAACACATATGCCAGTGACAGGTCCTGTACTTTAATGTAAAGAAGCAGAGAGCTTCCCATAGATTCAGAACTGCTTGATGGTGCCTGTGAATGACTGTATCTTACATCATGACTAGAGGCCCAGTGCATGAAAATTCCTGCACTTGGGCGGGGGGCAGGGGCGGCGGGGGGCGTTCCTCAGCCCAGCCCACGCCCTCTCGCAGTCCAGGCGCCCTTGGGGGATGTCCAATTGATGGTTTAGGCCCGCTCCCCATGGGCCCTAAGCCGCAGTCGTCTCCCTTTGTGGGAGGCGACTGGTGAGCAGATCAGGGGACAGCGCTGGTGGCAAGCGGCTGGCCCTGCCCCCCCATCACCCCTCTACCGCCAGTCGCCACCACCCACTGATCGCTGTCCACTGATCACTGTCCACCGATCACCGTCCCCTCCCTCTGCCCACTGGCAGGTACCTTGGCTGGCCTGGCACCGCCCGCTTGCCAGCCTCCACCTCCCACCGAATGGTCATTCTGCTGTTCGGTCGATTTGCATATTAGGCTTTTATTATTTAGGATTTTATTTCCCAATCAGTTATATCTGCTTGAAAAACACACTTTTCCTAAAATAGGCATTAGTTTGATATAGTTACATTGTCACATACATCATTAACCCCATACTTACCAGAAGAAAGGTATTATTTTGTCTCTTATAAACTAGTGTCATTCATAGGAGAGCATCCATATAAATACAGTTGGGAAATTATATTTAGTATAGTAAAGTTGGTATACTGTGATTAAATAATTATAATTATAGGGCAAGTAACAATGAGATGAAAAACTACTTCTAGATAAAGGAAACTGATGTTAAGTAATCCATTGCCTTCCTGTGAAATATTTCCCATGAAGGTCCGAGGTAGTTACTCATTTAGTAGATAGTAGTAGATGGAATTGGAGGCATATTGTATTGGGCTAGACACTAGGGAGAACACGAAATCAATATACTGCTATAGTTTATGATCTTAATTGGAAAAATACACAGAGAAAAGAATAAAAGGTTCTATGTTTAATAAAAGTTACAGGGATTCAAATAAATGAGACATCGGCATAGGATTGCTTGCTGACTACTTGTAGACGGCCACCTTCTCCCTTGTCGTCACATGGGCTACCATCTGTGAAAGCCTGTGTCCTAATCTCTTAAGAGGACACCAGTCATACTGGGTTAGGGACCACCCCAGTGACCTCATTTAACCTTTCTTCTTTAAAGACCCTATCTCCAAATACGGTCATATTCTGAGGTACTGGTTAGGATTTCAACATACAAATTTGGGGACATAGGTCAGCCCAGAAAAGAGTTCTTAAAGAGACTGCAAGGCTCTCATAGACTAGGCTGTATACTGGTGAGAGCGTGAAGAATGGACTGGTTCAGGGTAAGGGAGGGGGTCCTGTGGGGGCTGTTGTGGTAGTATAACTAAGTATTATTGTGTAATTTGATGTTTGTGAATAAAGGAAACTGCTATTTGAGGACAAGGTATTTTAGCTTTGGCCTGAGGCCACTTGTTTTCTTTATCCTGGTGTTTACTGGGAAATTGGCATTCGCTTTTGTACAGAGAGCCTTCATTTTCTTTTTAAATGTGTCATAAAATATTTTCATAATAGTTTTGGAGTCTGATTAAGCAGCATTTTTTTATTCTTTAAATTACCTTCATCTAAAAACTATGTATATATCTGCCGGAAGCCGGTCCATCCTTGCTGCTTGACACAGTCGCTGCAGGAAAGAAACATCTGCACAGCATATGTTTCAAGGGACCTGGCGTATATAGCATACTGTTCTTAATATGTTTGCTCCCCTTAGCGCTGTGTGTTTTAACCAAGGTCACCTCTCCAAGAAAGGTTGTTTCCCCAGGTAGGAATTTTTCCCTGAAGTCAGGGAGGGGATGCCTCTCCTAGAAAGGTTGTTTCCCCAGGTAGGAATTTTTCCCTGAAGTCAGGGAGGGGATGAAACTCCTTAACTAAGTGCCAGGCGGGTAGTTAATCACTACAAACAATCATGCTTAAGCTACATAATCTTTACTCCCTGGAATGGAGATAAGAAACGCCCTAACCTTTGTAATAGAAATTGACAGGATTAAAATCAACTGGTATAAATACGGATGTAACAAGACAATAAACAGCAGAACTTCGCTGGAGATCCAGACCAGAACTTGGCTGGAGATCCTGGCTGGAGATCCTGGCTAGGCTGCTGATCAACTGAACACTGTCTCCGTGTCCTTCCTTCTTCGCCGACTCCGTCTACACCTTTGGGGACCCCTGGACCTGCTGGGGTTGGACTCCGGCATATATCCTCTGCATATTTTGTGGGCAAATATTTGGCATAATCTTTTTTTCCCCAGAAACCTTCGCATTTCGGAAAGATAAAAGATTTTAAAAGTAATAATATGTTTGCTGTATCACAAAATAATGAAAATGTTTTTAAGTGTTGAAATTATAATTATTTATAATGTTAAAGCAATTCTTTAGAATAGAGGACTGTTAAAGCAATTCCTCCAAATTTGGCCAGCTGAGTTTAAAAAAAAAACGGTAAAAGGAGACTTAAAGTTCTTACTCTTTTTTTTTTTTTTTCTGCGTGTGGTGGTGAAATTTGTTTGGTCTAGGAATACATATTTTTATCCTCCTTTTAGCTTGATTTATATTTGTGAAAACAGCACTCATTGTTATTTCCTTGTAAACAACTCCACCTCCAGATCTAAGGTGATATAAATAAATGCATGAGGGGAACGTGAAAAAGGAAACACTCGTAAGAAGGGGAAAAACAGAAATATTAGCAACACACACACCGAAGAGAGGGAGAGAGAGAGAGAGAGAGAGAGAGAGAGAGAGAGAGATCTTGAGGAAAAACCTATTTAGATTGTGTTGATGACTTAATGTTGATCATTTGAGTTTGTTTTGAGACAGTTTACTGTTTAGTGCTTATATCTTAAAATTAGAGTAAAACATGTAAGATAGTGATTTCTTCTGGTAACTTTTTTATGATAAAAAATAAAAAAGCATATTTTTAAAATATGTATGTGGAAGACATAGACTAGCTAAGAGAAGGAAAAAAAAATTTACCTGTAATTCTATCACCTAGGTGCAACCTCCTTCCCCCCAAAGAAAACACAAGTTTGTGAACTGAGGATGCTAAATTATTTTGATATAACAAACGGGTAAGTAGAGATGTTGATCAACAGATTTCACTGATTGCTCATTTTCTCAGTGAGGACATGGGATCTGAGATTGTTAAACATCCGTATCTTCTTTAATAGCATCTATTTGAACCAATGTCTCTTGACTGTGAGGAGGTTAACTACCATGTGGCACACAGGACACCAGTGGAGAATGCATGTTTAAATCTTGATTTCTGCTTACAGTTATTTGTTACCTGGACCTATAGTTAATCCTAGAATAGCTTTATCTTATGGAATTGGGTGGGCCCCTGGCATGCCTTGTATCAGGGAACTGGATGTAGAAATGGTCATGGAAATCTGTCATTTCTGGACATCAGTGACCTAACAAAACCACGAGGATAGAATCATGAAGTTAAAAAATTATTCCACAACTTAAAAGATACTATCTGATCTATACCAGGTATGCCCAGCTTTTCTTAAATATTGCTAGGCCCCCTTAGCAGGTCCTGTTTGTCTAAGGTATTACTGGATAACGTTCACGCTGCTTTAGGTTAATGTTCCCCTCGCTGTGTCCCACTTCTCCCAGCCTCCCCTGAGTATTTAATTTTAATTAGTCAAAGTGTGAAATCTGCCTCTGGGAGACATTTATTTCCCACTGCAGGACCTGGGGAGGCCTCAACTCTAGGATTCAGTGGAGTTGGAGTTCTGCCTTTCCTCCCACCCCACCCACTTCCTTCCACATTCACGGTTCTGCTGGGAGTAGTTAGTTATTCTCTTCCCACTTAGAAAAGTACAGCACAGAATGCCTCTTTATTCTGATAGAATCTGCTGACTATATATGTTGGGTCAGGCTGAGTCACAAAGTACTTTTAGATCTGTTCTGAGGTAGGAAAACAAAAGAAGAAACACCCCCCGGGCCTGGATTATTGGTCCCTAGCCAGCTCCATTAAGTTCAGTGGACATTGGTTGGGTGCTGAACCAGGACATTCAGGTTCCACCCTTTCTCAGAGGAAGGATTGTTTAATTGCGGCATACTTTACAACTGACATGGTGAACTACACAAATTGAAAGTGTATAATTTGTTGAATTTTGAGAAACCATCCCCACAGTCAAGACAGTGGACATAAGCTTTGCTCCTGCCCCTGTGTAATCCTTCCCAGCCTCCCCTTCTGACTATCTCCCATCACCAAGTAAACACTGACTTGCTTTCTCTCCCTATAGATTAGTTCACATTCTCTAGACTAGAGCTTTAATAAATGGATCTTACCGTATATTCTTTTTGTTAGACTTCTTTTACTCTGTATTTTGGGATTTATCCAGGTTGCCTGTATTAATAATTCATTATTATTTATTGCTGAGTACTAGATCATTGTATAGATATACCATTCAGGAATATTTAAATAGTTTAGGATTCTTTTATGCTTTGTACATTGTCTTGTAGAGTGTTTTTCTTGGTTTAAACTGCGTGTGTCACACTTTTGTGTTTGACAGTATTCATAAACAAAATTTAAGTGCCCTTATTTGTTACTTGAAGTTTGAAACTATGTAAATCATACTTTTAAAAAACCTACCAGTAAGTTTAAAATGAAGAGATGTAAAGTTTTCTAATTTTTAAAGCTACCAAGTGATTACTTTTTTTTAAAAGTCACATGAGCACCACAGCTTTTGCATCCTATCTTGTGAAGAGTATAAGCACAGCATGGTCTGTTTCCTAAGGGAGCCGAAGCTCTGTTTTCCAGACTGCTTGCCTAATGCTCTGACTTGCTAATTTTTTGCACTTCTTTATTTTTGATTGCTTTATCACCACTTGTGACAAATTTATGTGACAACCATATAGTGAATTGGTTAACAAAGGAGTAATTTGGTGCCTAAATTATCCAAATAATTTTCATGTAGTATATGTTTACGGCTAAGACCATCAAACATACTAAGAGTTGAAGTGGGGATAATCATCATTGTGTGCATACACAATATTCTGGCAGAAATTATTCAGACTTTTTGCCACTTTAAGCATTTATATGTCTGCCTGTACTTTTTGATCAGTTAATTGAAATTAAGTGGCAAAACCCCAAAACAACACCATTTTAGGCAGACGTGCTCTCTGGATTACCAAAAAAAGTAAAAATTGGTTTATAATCTTATTAACATTTAGTCCTTTGAGTAGCATAGTAAAATACAGCTAATGAATGTTGTTAAACAGTGGATGAGTTAATTAAGAAGCAAATAGTCATGTTTTTTGAAAGAGAATAAAACCTTTTAAAATGTGTTCAGAGAGAAAATACCAGTTGTCAAGATGGCTCTAGTGAGTCCTATGGAATTACATATGGTAACTAAATCGTTGTAACCTATTATATTTATTTATCTGTGAATCAGTAATTAGGGAATTGAATTGGGCCATGCTAATTTATCTTGTATGGCTAGGATTCTAGGGCTCATGTTCAGGTAGGTTCATATTAATTTGTGTTTTTTTTAATATATTTTTTTATGTATCTGAACTACTTGGAATCTTGCCAGTATGCTGTAAACTGTGTAAACTCTCACTCCTTTTGCTGACTAGTTTTTCTTTGCCTTTGCACCGAAGGTGGTCCAGGCTTTATTATATTGTTTCCTGTTTGTGAATGTGTGCACTTTGTTCCAGTCTTTCAGGTGCATTCATTCTTGACATAAAAACAAATGGAATATCAGGCAAAAAACAGACAAAGAAGAATTTTAATCTCAACAAATTCCTCATGTTATTGCAGCAAAATAGCTATACATAAGTTCCTCTTCTCCCCCCTTCTATCATCTCGTCAGTTACAAGAATAATCAACCACAGAAATACAAAATCGCCATTCAAATATGTAATGCATGGCATAACATTAAGAGACAGATATTATAATTGCAGACATAATAATCCATCAAGTTCTTCCTAAAAATAACAACTTAAAAGTTTGCCTGGACTCTGGATTCATCAGTTTGCATATGGTTGGACCTGGCCTGTAATTCCTCATGTATATTTCACATTTAACTTGTTTATTTTTACTGTTGACTATTACAGATGTCCCCATTACCCCCTCTGCCTCAGTGTATTCTCAGCAATGTAGACTACCACTGACTAACAAGATTCTCAGCTGATTCAGACAGTGACACCTCTTCGCTGACGGAGGAATACAAGGTTTTCTCTAGTAATTCTTTAGTACAGATCATGAAAAACACTGATTTTATTACTGTGGACATTTTTTCTTGAGTATATGCGTGTTATCCAAAGTTGAATGTTCTGATTGAGTATGGAAGGGAATAAGAGAGGATTATGCCCAGTTTTATATTTTTTTTTATAGTATTCCCCTCCATATACAGAGAGAGACTTTAATCTTGAAACTTGCTGGTATGTTTTTTATTCTACTAGGATTTTTAACTTACCTTACAGATAATTGTGTGAAGTCTGTTTAAGATACTTTATCTTCTCCTATATTTAATTTGACCTTATTAAGGTTATTTTCCGTAAGTAATTTGTTTTCATGTTGGTATAGGAAGCAAAGTGATGTCAAGTAAGCCTTATTTAGTATCAGCTAAATAAAACACGATTGCTGGCCTAGTATGTTGAGTGCTTGTGAGTGTGATATTTGGTGTGATGAAGCATGAAGGGTCTTTATTTCTTATTGATTCTACCACTGAAATAATTCTAAAATATAATATATATTTTTAATGTTCATGTTGGCCAATGTTCCATCCTCCCTCCATTCTCCCCTCTTGTTCATCTCTATGACTTCTTATCGATAAATCAAATCTGCTTTAACTTCAGCAACACCTAGAACAGCGGTTCTCAACCTGTGGATCGCGACCCCTTTGGTGGTTGAACGACCCTTTCACAGGGGTCGCCTAAGACCATCCTGAATATCAGATATTTACATTACGATTCATAACAGTAGCAACATTACAGTTAGGAAGTAGCAACGAAAATAATTTTATGGTTGGGTCACAACATGAGGAACTGTATTTAAAGGGCCAGAAGGTTGAGAACCACTGACCTAGAGGCTAGTGATTTACTTTTTTTCTATGTCTGAATTCTTTTCACCTTACATTCACAGATGTAATTGATTCACTCTTTCAACAAATATTTATCAAGTGCCTACTCTGGGCCAGCCAATATTACTGGTTCTGGGAATAATAACCTTGTGAGGAAAAAAAAAATAAAAGGAACCGTCAACAACAAAACAAAAATTACTGCCCTCGTGGCACTTTAATTCTGCCGATTCCTATTTTACAAAGGTATTTCAAGATCAATATGTCGGAAAGGAATGTATTTCCACTCCTTCCTCTAAAAACAGATGACATTTCTATTTCCGTGGTTTTTCTTTAACCTAAGGATGTCCCAATGTTTCTAGTTTCCCAGATTAAAAACTTAGTGAGTCAATCTCTGTTGCTGTCTCTCACTCATTCCACCTGCCCCCAACATACTTCTAGGGGTTATTGAATCTTTTTATTCCCTCTAATGAGTGTATCTCCTGTCTTTTTCCTTGCCACTGCCTTATTCTAGGCTTACCTTATTTTTGATAGGGCTGTTTTAACAGCCTAACATATGGTTGTACTATCATTAGTTCTTTTGTCTCTTTGGTGAATTGTTTGTCCTTTGGCCAGACTTGTTTTTCCAGAAAATAAATTTTAGTAATCTCTCCTCCACTCCCCATTGTATCTACTCACTATGCCTGTCTGCAGGGCAGAGTCCCAAGGAGATATGGAAACATGGCTTTTCTAGCTCCTGTCTAGTTTGGTGGCCTAGTACTATAGAACCACTGTCATTACATTAAAACCACAGTCATGTGTTCGTTACGATTTCATTGCCTTAGCAGACAGCCTTCCCTTAGCAAGAGATGCTTTTACTACTCATGGTTCTAATTGTTCATCCTTCAGGATGATTCACATGTCACATTTCCTCCAAATTCTTTCTGACTCATGGTGCCGGCATTGGATTCCTCTGTCCTCACACAGAATTCAGTGCATCATGTTGCAGTGTAATTACTGTTTTCCACTAAATCGAGAGCTCAGAAGTTAGGTGCTGTCCTTATTCTGCTTTGCCATATGCTTCAGATATAGATATGTACAGATTTGGAGCGGGTGGAGTTTATAGAATGTGGGGTGGACCTCTTACATAAAAAGTAACAAAATTATGAATTCAAAATCAAATTAAAAGTGCATGTTCATTTAAATGAGAGTGGAAGGATCCTGTGCCCGATGCCTAGGGCAATGTGTTTAGTTAAAACTTGCGGAAATAATACAGTGGGGTTTTTGAATATGTTATAGAAATAGGATATTTATGTAATTTTTTTGGCTGTTGATTTCCTTTTTTAAAAAAATGTGTTTTTCATTGATTATTAGAGAGGAAGGGAGAAGGATAGAGAGAGAGAAACGCCGATGAGAGAGGAACATCATCAATCAGCTTTTCCTGAACACGCCCCACTGGTGATCAAGCCTGGAACCAGGGCATGCACCCTGACTGGGAGTGGAACCAGAGACCTCTTGGTTCCTGGGTCTAAGCTCAACCACTGAGCGGCAGGAGCAGAGCAGCTATTGATTTTCTTAAAGCTAGGAAACCGTCGTTAGCCATCCTGTTGCCAATGCTGTTGTTAATAATAATGCCCAGTGCCTCAACAGCATTTCTCACTTTCTGAGCAAGATCAGATTTCACTTGGGTGGGAAATGATTCAGTCCTTCCTGTGCATCTGTAACCGCAGTTGACACCCTGCTCCAGCTCCTGTTACCCTGGTGAATGCTAAGGGATTTTCTGAGCGCTTTCTAAGTTATCTTGCTGCCACTCCATCTTTCTATCTCTTCTCTCTTTTAGCTTCCTCACCTCATTTTTTCTTTCTCCTTTCCTCCCCTGTATGTTTATCTGGGTCTTGCTCTACAGCAAACTTACTGCCTCCCCATCTGTCTTTTCTAGTAGATAACACTTTTAAGTAAGTGTCAGTTCTTTGGCAAACTGAATTTTGGAGTTTGCAATTACTGACTTCATTTCTACCTCTTTGAACCATTGTAGGGCGTGACTTTGAAGTTCCTCATTAGAACAAAAACTATGTGTAGTTTCTAGCAATGGGAAAGGAGATGTCTAAAGCCACCTGCTTTGTTTACTGCAGGGGGAAAAAATGGTGCAATTTACAAGTCAGTCCCAGTCCAGAAATGATGGAATTTTATGTGTTTTAAGGAGTTACCTATTTAATAAACATGGTTAATCTGATAGCAAATTCGAAATGGCAAAACAGAGATATTAGTGTCCAGAGGTTAATAGAAGTCAAAATGACGATAGCAATAGCTTCTGTATGCCGATTATTTCCAGGCACTTTGCGTATGTTATTGCTAATGCCCACTTTACAATAGCCTCTTAGAGAAGTTAAGTGACTTGCCCAGGATCTCACAACTAGCAAAACAGTAGTGTGTTCTTTTGTTTTAATTCTCAACTAGAGGCCCAGTGCACATTAGTTCACAGGTGGGGTCCTGTCCGGCGATCAGGGCCGATTGGAGCCATCTTGCCCAGTCTTGATCAGGGCTGACTGGGGCCAGCCAGCCTTGGGGAGGGACCGCAGGAGGTTGGCTGGCTACAGGAGGTGGGCTGTGGGAGTGCACTGACCACCAGGAGGCAGCTCCTGATTTGAGCTTCTGCCCCCTGGTGGTCAGTGCGTGTCATAGCTACCGGCCAGTCATCTAGTCCTCCACTCATCACAGTCGCTTGGGCATATATATATGTTACAGTTTACATTTAATATTACTTTGTATTAGGTTCAGGTGTACAGCATAGGGGTTATTAGACAATCATGTACTTTACAAACTGTTCCCCTTGATAGTCCACGTACCCACCTGATATTCCACGTACCCACCTTACATCGTTATTACAGTATTACTATAGTCCTTATGCTGTACTTCCCTGTATCTTGTGGCTACCAATTTGTACTTCTTAATCCCTTCACTGTTTCCCCAGTCCCCAACCCCCTTGTTTCTGTTTTGTTTATTCATTTTGCTCCTTAGGTGCCACACATAAGTGGATTCATATGGTGTTTATCTTTCTCTGACAGACTTATTCACTTGAAGTGATATTCTCTAGGTCCAGCCAAGCTGTCACAAATGGTAAGGTTATATTCTTTTTTTGTGACTGAGTATTACTCCCTTGTATGTATGTACCACACCTTTTTCTTATCTACTGTCCCATTTCTGGGCAGACAAGACACATTTCGCTGGCTGTGGCCTTCATCTGGCAGCCTCAGACCAAACAGACTCCACCTGACCTGACTGAATGAGATGAGGGCTTTCTCCCTCGTCCCCAGTGAGCAGAGCCCCACTCACAGAAGCTGGCTGTGTGGGCTGGGCTGGCACAGGGCCTGGGCAGAGTTCACTGCTGGAGGACCACCTCTGTGGTTTGCCTTCTGAGGCCTGCCCACAGCCACAAGCCTGTGCTCTGACCTTCTGGCACCTTCCATGAGATCCCTTGTAAGGTCCCTTCTCACCCAAGATCAAGTGGGTCCTGCTGTTGCAGTTGAGAACTTCCCCTGCATAGAGCACGTTCATGGTGGTCCCTGTGATTGGCTGAGCCTCCCTAGATCTGCTTTCCTGACTAAGAGGAGCTCTGTGTTTGCAGGGAGAGGGAGCAGGCCAGAATGTGCAGGCCCACACCCTGCAGTGTCCTGGATGGCAGGGCCAGGCTGCTCAGCTCGGTTGAGCTATGGAGCAGGGTGGGGCTTATGTGGGCTCGGGGCAGGGTGGGGGGGGACATGGGCCAGGGCACAGGCAGGATGAACCGGACCTTCCAGGTGGTGGGTCACTCTCAGCTATCTTCATCTCCTTCACTTCCAGCCCCTCCTTCTGCCTCCCTCCCTGAGGTCTCAACCCCAGGTCTCGGCACCCTTGCTTTCCCAAACAAGGCCCAAAGTGGACAAATGACCTCAGATATAGAGAACTGCCGCAACATCTTAAAATTGAGTTTACCTTAGACCGAGAATCTCCACTTCTGGAGACCCGTCCTCAATAAAGACTTATGGATGCAGATGTTCCCTTCAGGACAGAGGTGGGAGTGAAAAGTTGGAAGTGGCTCATGTTCCACAGCAGGGGCTTTGGAAATTCTGATATGGGGGTCACAGAAAATGCCAAGGAGGGAGAGGACTAACCAGCGGTGTCCACATCTAGGGAAATGAGGTTGCAGAAGGGTGCATGCCTGGAAACCCTCCCCTCCCCATCCACACATACACATGTGCACATGCACAGGCACCCACACATGCACACATGGGCACAGAAACATAGGTGCACACACAGGACTGGAACGGTGAGCAGCCCTGTCAGGGCTCTCCTCCCTGGAAGCACTTGGTTCTTTACTTGATTCTGAATTACTTTATAATTGACTATGTACTATAATAAACCTTTATTTTTCTTGTCATAAATGTTTTAAAAATTGAAAACTATATGAGGCTGACCCCATTAAGTGGAATTTGCTCCAGTAGGGTTTGGTGCTGACCAAAATCTGATGGTGTGCTTTTTTAAGAGCATTTTATAAAGCAGGCTGGGAACTGTGAAAGCATAGCTGTCTGGGACTAGTTAATCTGAAGGTAAATACCTTTTTGCTCTTCTGCTTTTTTTTTTTTACTAATCCTCACATGACGATATTTTTTTCCATTGATTTCTAGAGAGAGCGGAAGGGGGGGGAGGAGAGAGACTGAGTAAGAGAGAGGGAGGGAAAGAAAAAAAGAAATAAAGAGAAACATCGATGTGCGAGAGATACACCAATTGGTTGCCTTCTGCACAACACATGCTTGGTCTTGACTGGGAATTGAACCCTTGACGCTTCGTCCCATTGGCTGATGCTCCAACCACTTAGCAAACCAGCCAGGGCTTGCTTTTCTTTAATATTCTTATTAGAGTCTAGAGCTATGATTTGGTGGAAGGGACTTGCCTTGATGTCAGTCAGACTTGGGTTGGCTTTAAATGTTTGCTCTGTTAAAAAACTTCATGAATGTAAGGGTAAACACTTTATCTCTCTGAGCCTCAATATTCTTACTTGAAATTGGGTGTATCTAATACAAAGTTGTTAGGTTTCAGGGAAATGCATGTGTGCAAACCACATGCTCTGTTTAAGGAGATATGAAAGCTTTTCAAACAATAAAATTAATGGTGGCTGCTTGCCTAAAAATCTCACTTACAGAACCATTTTATACTTTGGAGAAGTTATTATTACAGTAGATGCAATAGCAATCAGTTCTTAAATGCAGTGTTATTAGTTGTTACTGAATAGCAGTTTCTAAAAGTGTCAAATAAATGACTGCTTTCATTTGAGTGTTCCAACCAAGCCTACATTTTAGACATCCAAGGGTGAATATATATTTGAAAACTGTTACCTCTTGAAGGGAGTATTTGGTGATAAATTTTGTAACTGAGGAATAAAATTGTTGTTGGTTCTTATTTTTTGTTTTTAATCAGCAAAATGGCATGGAAATTTAAACAGTTTGTTACTTAGGGAATCTACTCAGGATACACACCCAATGTGATTGAGTAAGGCTTTTAAGCCTATAATTTCTTCTCTGCCTGCAAATTTTCTTAGAGCTGAATTAGATTATTTTTGGCTGAAACTTTCAGGTACTTGTTGATGTTTTATTACATAGACTTTCAGTACCTCCACATAATAATGGCTGTAGAAATATGGTTGCTTAATAAAATGCCCAGATTATGTGACCTTGAGAAAGTCATCTCTTTGACCTTGTATTTCCACATCTGTGAAATGTCGTGTTAGCAAGTTATGCTTTAGAATGAGTAAAAGCTCACAAAATTTTCTTTTGTCTTCAGATAAGTGAAATTATTAAGCATTAACAATTTATTAAGCATTAATACTTAATTAAGCATTAATAATTTCAGATCAATTTGAAATGACTTCTTCTGGATGAATTTAAGAGTTCTAAATTGCTCCATGAAAAGTATTGCAGAGTGCGGTCAGAGAGAGAGAGAGAGAGAGAGAGAGAGAGAGAGAGAGGTCATTCATGAGCCCTTCTCAGTACACGTGTGGTGCTTCTCAGAGCAAAGAGCTAACACTAAACCTCCTGGGGGTACAGACCACTGGTCCCCACAGGCATTGTACAGGAAAGGGAAGCAGCCAAGGTAGATGCCGCTCCAATATGCTGTTTTCTTCCCAGAGGATTTCCCGTTAGAAATTTGAGCCTGTCTTTTTCTAAGTAAGGTTTGAAACTTGATCTTTATTCCTGTCCACATTCAGCAAAGGGAAATTATGAAAGGCACAAAATGAATTTAGGAGGCACTGATTGATGGGGAAGGATAAAAATATCTAATTATGTGTAGTTCTTACAGCTCGGTGATACTAAGTAGGCGATATGACAGACGGCACTCTTCATAATTTTTGTAGAAAAGATTTCAGAATGGGAGAAACAGTTTGGAGCATTAATAGGGAAATGGGGGTGGGGGTGGGTGGGTAGTAGAGTTACTTTAAAAGTTATGGGGGAAAGCCCTAGGAACTGATCTTTGGTGAAGGGCATGAACGTGAGGTAGTTGGGTGGGGAAACAAGTTGAAGGTTATAATATTTTGTTCTACCTTCCCACCTCCCAATTCCATAGGTTTGTCTGTATTAGGAAAGTGGTTCCTGTTCACTGTACCTTAGGAGAGTGATTTTCATCCGGTGTGATGCAAGAATTTTGAAAACATTCAATACTAACTGTTTAGTCATGGCACTGACCTCTTTTCCCTTTGATTGTCAAATAAAAAAAAAATGACAGCAGCCAACACAACAATAGCTGTTTGGTGTGAATGAATCAAAATTATACCTAATTTTTTTTTGTCAGATCAGCAAAAAATTTAAAATATTTTATTTTAGTGCTGTAGAATTTTAGTAATTTATGTGTGCCATGAGATTAAAAAAAAAAAAGGTTGAAAATCGCTGTTTTAGGACTTGACCCTGAGGAATCATTCAAGTCACAACTGACAAATCCACGTATTGTCCTGCCCCACTATCAACATGAAGACCTCACAAACTCAGTGGAAGTGATCTTTGGTGAAGGGCATGAACGTAAGGCAGCTGGGGAGAGGAAATAAGTTGGGAGGGGGCCTGAGGAACGACAGAGGTCTTCTGTACGGTTACCTCCTTCAGCAACTGGCAAGTCCTAGCACAGGGCAGCTGCCAGCCTGTGGGTCTCATGGGGACACGGTGAGTGTCCCTGCTTTTCCTAAGCACTGTGGGCAGGGCCTCCCTGGGCCCTCTGGAGAACTGCCCCCTTCCAGGCGGCAAAAGGGCAGGCGGCAGGGACCCACAGTAATTTCTCCGGAGAATTTGTTGGCGTTGGAGGACCGGCACCTGGAATTCTGGGGCAGGGAGTTAATCCCTGTGCGCAGTTTTTGTTTCCCCAAGAGTAGAAGGCGGCTGGAATGAGTGTTCTATGGGCCCCCAGCGGCCTGCTGTTGTTTGCCTGCAAGGACAGCCCCTGAAGGAATCCTCTGCATGATTCTGCCTAAGAAGCATGCGGGCCTGTCGGGTCTTGGTGTTTAGCACTGAAAATGTGGTAACAACAGGGGCAAACGGCCCAAGAAACCTAAATTCCCCTGAGTTTAACTCGGGAGTGAGAGAGCACAGGAGTCTACATCTTCGGTCTCAGAGGCATCTAAACTAAATCTTTTCTCTGAGTCATCATGTTTAGTGTGAATTAACAGTTGAGGGCCCCTGTCCTGTAAGGCTGTATTAAGAGTGAACATTATAGATAGAAAACATGTAAAAGGGTGTCCAGAGAGAAAATATTGGAATCTATAGTTATCTAACATGTATCTGTGTATTCATTTTGCTTGTTTTTTGTTTTATTTTTTTTTTAATTCTAGATGAGGGTGGAGGAGGAAGGAAATAAATAGAAATAGATCATAGAATAGATTTGTGTACTGTATTAAAAAAATGAAAGTTCAGTCTTTCAAGTAGGCAGCTGATTAATAATAGCAGCCGAGATTTTAATTGCAGAGTACATGCTAGTACAACTAATTTGTCATCTAACCATACCTCAGTGAGCTTTAGCATGCCAGTGAGCTACATGTTTTGGGGGACTAATTCTAAGATTGACTTCATGGTTGGGTGTGAGCAATAAATAAGGGAGCTTAA